CTCCAGACCCCTCACCAGCTTTGTTGCCCTTCTCTGGACACGCTCCAGCACCTCGACGTCCTTCTTGTAGTGAGGGGCCCAAAACTGAACACAGTATTCGAGGTGCGGCCTCACCAGTGCCGAGTACAGGGGCACGATCACTTCCCTAAATAGTTGTCTTAAAATGAAGCAAACAGAAACTCTTACTGCATCTCGTTACTTGATGACTTCTTATTCTTTGCCTTCTTGGTTAAGACCCAGACGATAATGCAAATGATAGCAGCTGCCAGAATTGCTCCAATTAATGCTCCAACAACAATACCACTGTCCGAATCTGGAAAGAAAAAAAGATTACTTGACTTTTTAAAAAGTATTATTGTAGCTAAATCCCAAGGAAATTTAGTGGAGGAGCCTTTAGCAGAGAGAAGGCATTGGATTCAAAGAACTAAAAAACTGACTGACAGCTGTATTTCCAGGAGGGAGGCCAAAGATTCTCTAGGAAAGAGAGAACTGTGCTTTTATGACCTTTGCTGCCTCCTTTCTTGTTGGTTAGCCCCTACCCTAACAAACCCCATGTTTATGCCTGGCTAAGGGAAACATTAGGCTGTTAACACTGGCAATAGTTGAAAGCCTTTGCTCTTCAGTCCTTGCAAACAAGTTCTGAAATTCAGGTTGCTTTTATCTCTGTCTTTCAGCTGAGATGTAAAATGTATGCTCTGATCATTTGTGAGCCCCCAAAACCTGTTTCCACTTCAGTACAGCTTCTAGATCTGACCTGCAATTTTCATTTTATAGACCACTGAGTAATTGAGTGACCATTTCGGGGACATCTCTCGTGGCTGGTTGTACAAGATATGCCTGGCTCTTGTTAAATGTTACTGGTTATGTGAAAAATCTGCATGTAGATGTGGTTGACCACTGCTTGAGAACGGTCAGAATAAGGCTGACCACTGCTTGAGGGCAGCCAAGATAAGGTACTTTTCCATGACTGCAGTATTTTTAGCTAGTGGTCACATCTACAGTGCCCCCGTCCTCGTCCTACCACATTTCAGTGATGGTTGTAAATTCTGGGATGGGGGGACCTCAGTGGGACTGTTGGCTGGAAGAAATTGCTCTAAACTCCATGTCTGTCGGTTCTCAGTAAAGGCTCTGCAGTCAGAGCCAGGTTCAGCTCCCGCTCCCAGTGGGAAATGAAGCTGGAGATGTTAAATGAGTTGCCTAGGTCAGTGTGAATTCTGGGCACGCCTGGATGAAAACTCCGGAGCTCTCCAAAGCCCATTCTGTTATTACTTGAAAAAAACCTATGCTTTAAAGTTGTTACAGTATTTTTCTGCAAACTGTGCGTGTCATACATCAAATACACGATTACTTTCATGCATTAAACTTACGGTTTGCGGTTAGGTCAAGCTCACAGGTACTGTTCCCCAGGAAGTTCCTGGCTATGCACCGGTAATACCCAGTTTCAAAGGTGGTGAGATTGCCGATGTAGAGAATGCCAGTGTTTGGATCTGTGACAAACAGAGAGCAGGTACAGATCACCCTTTGTACACTGTAGAGGCAAACGGTTTTCTTCAGTTGGTAATACTGAGAGCTATTAAGAGGTTAGAAACAGGGTTCTCCAATTATTCATTCATTTGGGGTCTTTTATATTCTTTAAATAAAAAACATTTACTTTCCTTGCAAATTACTGCAGTGGCTTTTGCAGGAGTGTATTAGAACATGAGAAGTAGGCCCCTACCCTGCTAATCGGTCTGTCTGTCTGATGTTTTACCCGCGTTGATACTATTGTCAGTGTAACTTCACAAATGAAAATGTAACAGGTACTGAAGATTTTCGGGCTGGAGGTCTTAGCACCTGAATGGAAAATTGACTTAGCCTATCCTGAGTTCACTCAAAATTCCGAGGGAAGGGAGATGTAAAGGCATAAACATTTCTCCCATTTTAACGGTTTAATGTAATGGCATAGACAAGACTTTAACATGCCACACAATTTTTGTTAAAACAAATAGAAAAAACATCCTGTGTTTGTGACAGCTATCAGTCGATTTGAATAAGTAAAAATACAATTTTGTGACATTGACCGTCAGAAGAGGATACGTTTTAACTACCCTATGTGATACACAGTGTTTGAAATTGCTGGTACTATGGAATTCCAGATCTTGAACACAGTATGATAGTCCTCTAGTTACGTACTAAGTTGTTGAGTCACAGGCTTGAGGGTATTCTCATCTACTTTGTACCAGTGGTAGGTAGGGCGAGGCAATCCTTCTTCACATTTGCATAAGAGGTAGATTAGATGGCCTTTTTCAGGCGTTCCTTCTATTTTGCAGAAAGGTTTTGACGGTTTGACTGCAAAATAACAACGAGGAGAACAGACACATCGTGAGTATATACCCGGGGCTGCAAGCATCCACCTTGACTTCTGGTACTGTGCTGCTGTAAGTAAAGAATTGGACCCCATCTAGAGGTTTCCATCGGAGGGCAGAGTCTTGTTTATGGATCTGACCAAAGGCTCTCCCGTGAAGAGTAATATTAAATATATGTACATGGCCTAGGATACATTTTTATTATCTTTTCTTCTATTTGCATACAAAATATTATTATGGAGGTGTTGAGATGAAGACTATCAATTACTTTAATTACAATGGGCCAATCACTGTTCGTCATACGCCATTCTGCCACACAGCAGCATCGTTTTCTTTAGGGACACAGCAGGAGCTTTTCCACATAAAGGGAGAGGGTCAAGACCTGATTCTTCAGTATATTGCAGCTGTGGAGGAAATAAATTAACTACAGTCCTCTTAAAAAATACATCTGCTTTGATAGCATTTCCTCACTGTGCACACAGGAGAAGATTCTGTCTTCACGTACACCTATTATTTTTCATTTCCTACCTATAGATATGCTGTTGTGGTTCTTCAGAGTACCGTCAGTGGAAGTATACCAGCAATGCCCAATTTTGTGTGCATAAATGAACAACCTTTCTTGTTTTCATGTGAAAAGTACAATCTCTTACTCAACTGCTCCAAAATTTACTATTTGTTTGGGGAATTTTAGATGAGAACTAACAGTAGTACTTTGATTTTTCAGGGATCGAGTTTACATATGTTTTTTTCTTATCCCTGGCAGATAGGCAAATGATGTTGGAATCACGTTCTCATATGACTTTGATTTGTCACTCTGACCAGCTGTGAATTCTCAATATAAAAACGATGATTAGATGGGGTTAGTCCAAACTTTTCTCTTATTAGGAAGTAAAATATCTCATTCCACTGCTTTTCATCCTTTCTGTCCTGCCTGTTCGTGGTTGAACTATTGCTTTCTTCCATCCAAAATTGACTTTGTACTACTTCCATCCAACACATACTAAGTTTCCAGAGTTTCTGGGAAAGGGGGTGACCCAGAACCCTTGGGCTGTACTGCTGCCTCTCCCTAGATTTACACAAGTCACCGTGACCAACGTTAGGCAAAATGAGTAAAATTCTGGTCTTTGCTGGGGCGGGATTATCCTAAAAGTAATGGCTTCAGAGAGAAGTTGTCACTCCCAGTTAAAAGGGCTTTTTATTTTAATCAAAGTTAGTATCACTTTGTTTTCCAACATGAAAAATGTAGTGAAGTTGGGTAATTCCAGCTACCCGCTTACCTGCTTACATTAGGTGGCTTTCTGAGAGCACAAAGTGAATCTGAAGGCCGCTCATGGGAGAATGAGATTTTCCTGCAGGTCAAGCAAGGGTAGCTGCGGAGTGGTATCAGGTCTGCTTTGGAAGCTAGAGGGCACCCCAGGCTCTGCCTGCCTCCAAAGCCCTTGGAAAAGATCTCTGCGTCAGCGCATCAGGGAGCCCTTTCTCTGCATCGTGGGCCTTGTCTGTCACAGTTCTGTTATTCCCTCTGGTCCGACGTATTTTGAGCGGTGAATTCAGTGTTTCATAATAAGGGAAGAAAACTACAATACAGCAGTAGAGAGGAAAGGCACTTACCCAGCACACTGACAATCACAGATTTTTGACTCTGTCCAGCGTCGCCCTGTGGGCTGAAAACTTCACAGGTGTAGGAACCAGTGTCTGAGGGCTGCATGTTGGAGATTGTTATTGATGCATTCCCTGGACCTGTTGCAGCTGTTATCCTGTTCTTAAACTCTCCATAGGAGTAAGACTGGCCTCCTGAATAATAATAGATCTGTGATAAAGAATCAATTGTCAGTTTAACAACAAGAGATCTTACTGCTGCTTTGTTTGGTACTCATAATTGGAATATAGTTGATTTCTGATTAAGTCAAACAATCACCCCCTTTCTTGCCCCCTCCCCCAAGAAAGCAGAGATGAAAACACAGTACATTTGAATATATCTTTCTAGTGGTTCTCAAAAGACAAGCTTTTCAGAAATGGGATTTTTTAATTGTGTGAACGGACAGTAGCTAGTTCTTTGTGGATACTCCAGTCACAGACTGATGCATTTGTGAAAACAAAGGTGAGACCATTGACCATCATATGACAATTCTGCGAAAAAATGCTGTCATGCACAATGAATAGTGGTACTAATTGCAGCACTGATAATTTGTGATATTATTAATAAGCGTCTCAGTAGAAGATTGTGACAAGAATGGACCTGTCATTGCAAAAAGTGGATGGCTGCAGAGCTTTCCAAATACAGAAGCTAGAAACAGAGAACTGAAATGAATCCACAAGACAGAGGTCTAAGCAAACAAGGCGCCTGATCTTTTGGCAGTAAATTTGGAAGCAATAAAAATGCAGTACGAGAACACCAGCAGAATCATCACACACGCAACTAGAGCAACCATGCTGTTCTCCTTGTTTGTGTAACCAGGGTCAGAGCCAGTGTCATGGACTATCTTGGTTTTTTGAGTTTATACCATAGGTGGGAGTCAAGAATGGCTGTTGGCCTCAGTGCTTGGAGGGGCACCTATTTGGGATCAAGAAGTTCCCCTTTTACTAAACAGTAAAAAAAGTTTTGCAGAATTATAGACATAGTAAGGATAAATGTCTCTAAGGAATGCAACATTTCCTCCCAAATACAAATTTGCTGTTGAACGTTGACTGATTTCACTGACTTCAGTAGCATCAATTGTACTTAACAGCACTGTGGGAGTACAATTGGCCTCATAAGCTTATTAGCCCAAACCTGTTGCCTGTTGACTAAAAGGAGGGGTAGAATTGTGTTCATCGTGGAGCCTGCTTGGTAGTCTGAGGCTTGGGCCTTGAGTCTGTTTAGGAACTGCAGTATCTCATCTGCTCTGGGGTAAATATAATAGTTCTCAAGGAGTACACATGCTCTGTCCAGTCTAGCTCTGCTGTGAAACCAAGATCTGAAAGAACAAGGCTAATGTGGAAAACTATGGAACGTTAATTATTTTTCTCAGCTGTTAATGATAGTGTTGTGTAAAAGTGATAGTATTTGGGATAGGCAGTATGTCCCCCAGTGTCTACATGCACAAACTCCATTGTCCAGGCAAAGTGAACAGTTCCAGCATACTCAGTCATTTTTTTAAACTGGTGAGGGGTAACCATATAGAATTACAGGTTGGGACCCAAATAGATCTAACATCGTTCCTACTGACAGTATTCCAGAATCAGCAGTGTAAATGTATTTATTGAAGTTGGACTGACAGCATGTTTTTTAATGGGAATAGCTGGAAAATGCTTGTAGGAAAAAGCTCCACAAACTCCTGTGAAATGCCATTCACACTTGACTAGTATCAAAATTTCCTTTTGGTCAAAGTTCCCTGCCTTTAGGGACGCTGCAGATCCCCAGGCAAGACGTATAATTTGCTTTACTTTGCAGATCAACTGATTGCATTTTGAATGAAGAATATTTATTCTTAGTTCTATTTATCCACGCTGATACGGTGTGGACTGAAGTCTTTAAGCAATGTTATCTGAAAGCCTTTATTAGCTTAAGGCAAGCTACACCCCAAAACTGCCAGGGCACAGCTGGTTTATGCAATGATAAGGCTTTGAAATGAAGGTCAGAACCCAGACTGCACAGCACCAGCAGCTCCAGTACTGCAGCTTGGCCCCATCTCAAGTGCAATTTTGCCTACTTCCCAGCCAGACCTTATCCTTCCCTGCCCCAGGATTACAAACAGCAGGTACAATTGATGCAGGGCTCTGAATACCAAAGCTACGCTACTGCATTGCCGACACGTGGAAAACTGGTGATGCAGTGAGGAAGCATAAGAGGTCCAGTGTTAGCACAGCAGCAGACTAGGTTAGAAAGTCTGCTGAACGGCTGGATAGACTCTCCAGTTTCCATTGTTTGCATGCAGTGCCATGAGTTTTAAAACTGATTTTATGCTTTGCAAATGTCTAGAGATGGATCTCTATTGCAAAACTACAGTCTGGATGCCCACCCTCGTATTCCCCAAGGAAGGAGAGTGTTCAAAATAGGGAGTTTGGTTTAAGCAAATCTCTCATCAAAAAACTGATCTACTGTAATTACAAAAACACACTGGCCACACTTGTCTCATTCGACATTTATCTGAGTATGAGCAACAACAGAGCGTTATATGCTGTTCCTTGCAAGAGTCCGAAGTTACAAGAACTGTGACTTCGGACTTCAGGCTCCTCTTAAGCTGACGTTCCTATATAGATCTCAACAGTGATGGGCTGGATTTGCATCTCCTCTCGATCAATTGCATCTGTTTGAGTGGGGTAGGGAAAGAGCTTCCATCAGCTCTTCACGCTAATGTGAAATTAAGTTGTGCAATGACTTAAATGAAGTAATGCATGACTTGCAGCAGCGTGAGAGGAGAGGCAGGCCCATTATATCCTACTAAAAGGCCTGATTACTGAAAAAAGGGGCTAAATTCTACTCAGTCTACCTCAGAGTGGTCTGGGATTTACGTGAGAGTAAACAGTAGTGGAAGCTGCCCACTGAGTGCTAGCTTAGCTATAGCACATGTTCCTGGGAAATAGGACCGGCACTACAATGAGTCTTAAATGCAGTCAGGGCATGCCAGTAAACATTATAGAGGAGCAAGCGCTCCTTGGTATATTTGATCTGAAGTCAGGGTGAATTATGTATCTAAGCCCTTACACAATACACTGAAAAATTAATCCCCTGTCTTCTCTCTTCCTCTCTGACTGCATGCAGAGAAAATATTTTGTGTACACTGTTAAATCTGAGGCAGGTGTCAACACAGCAGAGAATATTTGTTCTCTTCACGGATTTAAACAGAATCTTTCTGGGTTGGTTTTTTTCAACTATGAACATAAAGGCAGTGGAACATCTTAAGGAAATGCATTCAGTTCCTCTGCAGGCTCCTGCCTGTTCTCCGTTCTTCTGCTCCTGTACCATGCTTATCTCACTAGCTCTGGAGTTTATTGCCTGAAGGAAGGTGGTAAACACCAAAAAGACTGAGTAATGTTGTGATTAATTACTGGGTGTATATCTTGTCCCAGAGGTATGACTGGATTGTGTACACAGGAAATTTCATTTAAGAGGAACATGTTGCAGTTAACTGCCTGTGAATTCATAGCCCATTTTAAACAATACGCTCAAAATGGGTATTTTAAACCCTTGCTCAAAGTGTTTTCATGCTGTCCTTGAAAAGCTCGTGTTTGTGCCTTTCAAAAACCTGAAATGAAAATCTTTGCAAAAATGTTTCTGTTCCATTTCAAAAGTAAAAAACTTTTTTTCTGTTGAAGATATAGAAGACTTTTCATTTTGGGGCAACTGACAGCTAATGTTCCCTTCTACAGACACACATCTCATTGACATTTCTTTCCATTTTACCTAAGATGTCCCCAAAATGTCTGTATGGGAAAACTGTAAATTTAGTCAATGGTAGACTTTTCCTGGAAGCCTTTTTAATTTGATGTGATAAATATATTTAAAACGCAACATCTTGAATGTAAAAAAAAAGAAAGAAATCTGCTGTGCTCCTCTTGAAAAAATAAGCTTTTTTTGTCCTCAAGAAAATCATGAGCAGCTCTAGTGAAGTCGATGATTTACCAGTGTAAAAACAATATTGAGGATGCAGTAATGGTCGCTGCTTCTCATTACCAGCTAGTTTCCTCATGCAAGTTTTTATATAACGGTGCCTTTTCACATTTCAGGGGAGCAGCTGCTAAATCAAACTAATCAAACAACCGACAGAAAAAAGAGTGGAGATTATCACTCCTAAAAATGTTGTCCCTAATAGCTCCACAATCTGAAAAACCAGTTTCTGCAAAACAGCTAAGCTGCCCAGAAAACGTCTCCCTGACCTTAGAAAGGATTGCAGTTTGGTTGGTTATTCAACCTGTGGGCCAGGCAGTGCCTGAAGCCGCTAATGTCAGCAGCCAGCCTTCTCGGCTTTCTAAGGCAGTGGTATAGCTACTCTGCATTTCCACAGTCACAGTTTCTGCTGCAACCAAGAAAGGGATTTGGGCTCATAGACTTCCAAGGCAGTTGAGTCAATTAGTCGTGTACCTGTTTGGGGGAGCTGGGTTACAAACAGAACAGGGAATTGGGAATGATCATACTCGTTTGGAAGAAAATCTCAGTAATCTTAATGCACTCCAGATGCTGGAGACAAGATTATTTGTGTCCCAGATTCTGAAGGACCTGGTACATGAAATCACATGTCCTTTTCTTCTCCTTTAGCCTGACTTGTGGGAAGGCTGCTCCTCTTCTAATGCAATGGTGAGGAAAGTATTCGCCTGCAGAGGAAGCAGTTGGCAAAGCTGATGCTGAGTTGAGGATTTTCAAAGGCTGCCAGATGTTTGGCAGAGAGTGAGGAACCCACCTACAGGTTTTCTTTATACAGCTTCTATAGAAAGATCTTCTTCCTTACGGGGTGGGGGTTGCGTGTGAAAAAGCAGGCAGTAAATTAAAAGAAACATGACTCCATCTGCTTCCTTTCTTCTTGGGACAGGACAAATACATACTAGAATTTGCATAAATATGTGTCTTTCAGATTTCTTTGGATAGACTAATTCATAATTTCCAGGTCAATATTCCTCCCACCCTCCATCTCCTGGTGTCATCGCATCACGTCATTGCTGTACATGCCTAGTACATCTGGATATCAAAATTGTAAGATGAGATGTACTTGAAGATGTGTTACAAAATGTCCCACTTAATCTCCACAGTAGTCTTAATTTCCTGCCTGGGGCAGCAGTTTTAGGACATGAATTCCTTTCCAGTACCTGTCTTCCCTCCCCCAGCCCCTTCTC